GAAACCTGCTTAATGCCCTTTTCCCCTAAGGCCCTAAGGCTGCTGTGAACTTGGCCCAGTTGCCTGGTAGATTCTATCCTTTCTTTGTTTCCTTTTGAATTCAACCAAGCAGAGAGAGTTCTGTTGCTCCCATGGCAAAAAGTTGTTGAGAATATCTGGTCCGGTCAAGTGAGAAGGGCTTCCGAAGTAACGCCAAGATCCCGAAAGATATGTTCAGGTCGCTGGTTGCAACTGAGTTTTGATGTAGATGAAACAGCCTTGGCGGCAAGCATTTCTGTTGGTGGAGGCTTGAAGGGTGAGCACTTCCTCGGGGTGTTTAGGCAAGCTGTGTGATTCCCATACCGGGTACCGGAACATACCGCAAAACTGGTTGCCACTTCTAGCAACCTTTGCGCCCGATTTCAGGCATGAAGGTTCCTTGCCTGAGCCCGAAGGCGGAATGATCAGATTTTTGCTCTCAACGTTGATTCGAGAAAGCTTCGGATGTGTGTTTGTTGAAGCTACCCTTTGAACCCTGGATTAAAGGGAAACCGCCTGGACAACCCACCCACTCTGGGGGTCCAAATCCCCATGCTGGCACCTGCGTTTGTCTCAAAATTAGGGCAATCCTAGAGTGTGGTTTTCTTCTGATTTCACTATAAAACCAAAAGAGGTTGTCCAAAAGAAAGACAACTCTGCCCTTCCTCGTTTTTCCACAGGCGCTTCGTGGTGAGAATCTGGAGCTCAAGCAGGCATGGGATGACAAAACTGGGCGGCAAGTGCGGGTGTGGGGCAAGTGATGTGCACCCAAAAATGGTCGGTGACAAGGGCCCCTCAAAAAGGCACACGCTCAAAGAGCTGGCCGCTTTTCTTTTGGTTTGCCCAAGCGCCATCCAAAATGGCACTCGAAATCCTTTGGGAGTTGGTCGACAGAAATCGCAAGTGGAGTGTGATGGGCCCTCAATCAAGAACTGCAAGCCACAAAAAGCCTGGCAAATGATGTCGCTACAATTCTAGTCTGTTTTGGTTCGGGAGGGGCCTGCACTTGCTAGCTTGGTGGCCAACTAGACTTGGACCTAACAACCTCGGCAAAGAAAGCGCTGGTTGCTTGCACTGCGTGATGATCATATCAACCCTGTTGCTATATTTGGATTTCAGTCAAGGGATCATGCCTGCACTTAACACGCTGCTAGGAACTGGGCGTCATTCCTTAAATTAGAGGGCCTGCGTTCAATTGTGTGGGGGCCCATGCGCAGAACGTTCTCCCACCGTGCGAGAGCGGTTTTTTGCACGCTCACGTGTCATCGACTCTGTGTAGGCACACTTGCTGCAGGTGCCAACAAGCGACCTTGGATGGCCTCTGCCCTGAGCAAAACGCAAGTCGGAGAGTCCACAAACCAACCATGAGCCATTCCAGACGCTCCTTCTACTTGGGAAAGCTCGGCATTTGAGAAGCTCGGATGTGGGAAACGGGCTGTTAGGTAGCATGGTCCAGCTTCGGCTGGGGCAAGGTTCAGGTTGGCACCTGGAAAGTTTCTTATGGGAGCAACAACAACCTTTTGTCTTGCTTGAATTTCCCCCCTACCTTTCTCTATGGGGCAACCCCGTCTACTTGACTTCAATTCGCATGAAGGTGACATGGTAGAGAGCCAGGAGCCAGCACTCAATATGAGACATCTGGCTTTCCGCTACGACACATCAAACAGAGGGCTGGTCTTCCGAGTCACCCGATGTTCGCCAGGGTCACAAGTCACAAGGTCCCAGATTTCGGGGACCAGTTTGAAGGGTCGTTCCTGGTTTCCCTGGGCAACTTCACAAACTGAATTCTTCATTTCCCTTTTTGAAGTCCTTAACAGTCAACCGCTAAAACCCCTCATTGCTTTGCGTTTCTTCGCCAAAAAACGCCCCACGATCCATGGGTCTTCTGTACCAGGAGCTCGCGAAGCGAGAGCGGCAGATCGCCGGACACCCGGCACGCGAGCTTTTGGGTCCAGAGGTATTTGAAGCGATTCCTCCAGGGCCTGGCCTGTGCCACCTTTTGGTGGAAGTGCTTGCCCGTGAAAAAAAAACTTGCAAGAAGTCAGGCGAGCCCGTGCAAAAAGCCAGTTTGTTGATAGGGGGAGGTTTTGTTTGCCCGTTTAAGTTTCTTTTGTTGGAAGGGGTTGCTTGCCCGTTAAAATCACCTGCCAAAGTTCAGGTGCTCCCTTAGATACAGATTGGCCACTGGGCATCTGACCAGCGTTGTCCCCAACACAAGGACGAGACTTTGAGTTCGCCGGGTGGTGCGCCGATAAAAGCTAACTTTTGGATGTCGGAAATCTTTCCACGAAAACGGGCCCTTTCCAGATTCACTCTTGTTGGTCAGTTTCCTTCAGGACCATTCTTCTTCGGTTCCCTGCCAGCTCTCTTGTATTTTTGAGTACTCGTTTTGGTCAAATTCAGGGACACCAATCATGACAGCCAACATTTTGGGGCGGGGCTAAACCCGTGTTTTGACGCCCCAAGTAAACTTCCAGAGACCGACCCCCCGCATTTGGGGGAGGACCCCCACCCACCCCCCCCTCCCCCTTCGTTTGTTCGAGGAATCTCCCTTTCGTAATCCGCAACTTAGGCCGCTCTGGCTGCGGACCTCGCTGCGCGGGACATGCGCCTTAGCTCCCTGCGGCATGAGGCACGCGTCAAGGACCCGGAAGAGTTTGGAAAACGATGTCCACCATACCCCCCTCCCCGGGGTTTAATGGGATATTTGGCTTAATAGTATTATGTTTGGGGCCCCCAAATGATCAGTAACTGTTCCCATGTGGGGAAAGTCATATTTGTTTTGGTGGTTGATGGTCATCCCACGTAAAGAACCTTTTGATCAACCCCCGTATACAACCCCCTATAGGCTAAATATATCAACGGGCTCCCTGAGTTTCTGGACTGACTTTGTACATTGCAGGACCAAAGAGTTTGGGTTTCCGACCAACTCAGGCAGTAAGTTTGGGTGGCAAAAGCGAAGCGGAAAAAGGCCGGGGGCTAAGAACCAATTGTTCGGTCCCGACCCGTTTGGGACCGATTCCTTCAAGCTGGCCTTGGTTGCGGAACATGCAACCAGGCCTGTGATTCCACGTGTTCCCTTTTTTGGAGGGGTGTGACTTGAAGGTAAACCACCCAAAAATTTAATGCACCTTTATTTTCCATGGCCACTGGGGGGTGTGGGTTGGGTTGCTACTTTCTGTGAGTGGGAGATGTTTGGGGAATCCCCGAAAAGTTTGGTCGCTGAATTTGGTGGGAAGGCGCTCCGATTTTCCAGAATGGTTTAAACAGTCAAGGGGTGGACCTATACACCCCACAGCCGCACCATTCCCCCGAGGTCGCAATACATGCGGGGCCGTGTGGTACAGGGGAAGTATTGTTCGGAGGTGGTCCCAGCTAAGATACCACGCTCGAGGAAATGCATATGGAAGCTCCCGATAGCCCGTAAGCAAACCGTGAGAGCACCTCTTGCGGTGATTTGTCGACGTTTCCTTGGTGATTTTTGGGTGTGCAGACTGTCCCGAACAGCCGGAGATCAAACTCAGGCAAAGAACTGCGGCATGTGCCGAGAAGTGGCCAAAGCCCTTCGAGAGCGAAATGCGACAGGTTTGCAACAGTCGCAGCTGGTTGTCTTCAAACATATTGGTTTCAAACCGGTCATGCGTGCAAGTCGGTTGCCTTGTGCAACATAAATGCTCTACCTTCTTGCATTGGCTCGCGCGCCTGTTTGAACCAAACAGCTTGTGCCGTGTTTGCGGAAATCCTGGAACCCAGGACATGGAGCCAGGTCAGCCATGAATATGACTTGTGGTCATTCTTGGAGGATGGACCCACTTCTTCCGTTACAAAAGGTGGGCCCCAGTCAACTTGTTGCAAGGAAAACGGTCTGAGTCTGTTGCTCATATTGATCAAACATGGAGCCCTTTATCAGCTTTGCCGTGGTGGAGGGTCTCCCTCCCAATCGTTGGGTTTCCTTCGTATTGGAGCCATCCACTTTGTGGGAGTTTCAGGAGACACCTGGGCGCATCGAGTTTTGGGGGTTGCTTGTTTTATCACGAAGCCAAAAGGAAAAGAACAAAACCACCACTGGGGCGCAGCCTTGAGCAATTCATCCCGGGTGTCCGCAGGACGCAATGCTGGGCTGCTTGCAGAAGGCGAGCGCCCCAAACAAACCCAACCTCCCATGGTTGGCTGGCGTTTTTGTGTGTGTGTGTGTGTGTTTTTTTTTTTTGGGGGGGGGTGGTAACCTCTTGCAAGATCGGGGGCCGGGTGTGATAGCCTTTTTGGGCTGCTTATGAGTCCCCGGACTTGAATTTTGTCAGGGGTCTAAACCGTTTAACAGGGTTCTTGTGCAGCCCTATTTTGAACCCTTGGCAATCATGTACCACCAATCGCTGAACGTATTGGACGCTGTGCAGCTTGATGTTACAACAAGCACGGAAGACTGCCGGTTTTTGTTCCAGCTTGCTTTTGACGCATTGGCAGAGACCTACATTCCATCCTTGAGCGGGTGCTTTTATCAGGAGTCTCTCCCTGAAATTTCACAGACTTTTGTCGCCTCTTGGACACCCTGTTTCAACAGACAAGCGAGGTCTGGTGAGTTATGGCAATTGCTTAGTGCAAATTTCTTTGTGAGATTGCCTGGGTTGTGTAAGTGTCAACCTCCAGAGGAATTGGGCTCCTCTGCTGCGGCAGGTTATCTCAAGGGAGCTCCAAGTTTCCAAGGTGTGTTTTTGGACGTATCCCATGCGGCTAGATGTCGGCCTCAAGTAGGCTTGGAAACTTGTGAATGTTCCATGAACCTCAAAAAGGTGATGTTTTTTTGCTGAGGCGGGGGTCAAGAGACCAGCACTCGGGAGGGCTTGCAGCTTGCAGCGGCTCCTTCTCTTCCAATCCTGAAAGCTCCCTGTGATTTTCGGAAAATTCCATTGCCTTGTCCAATAGAATCGCGAGCATTCGATTGGAGTCTTTCCGAACCTTGGAAGAAGCTGAATGCTTTGTTCAGAGCCCACAGGCTCAAGCCATGGGTTGGCTCCTCGCATGGCTGACTTTGTCCGCCCTTGTGTGCAGCAGGTGCTTGGAGTCTTGCGATGTTGACGATGTCTCTGCCCTGCAGTACGCGAGAGCTGCGTCTGAGTCACTTGAAGCTTCAAAAGCCTTTCTTTCCATCATGAAGAATTGTGCCCACATTTTTTTCGTTGGATTCCCTGAAGCCAAGCACATGCCCCATATATATATATATATATATATATATTTCAGGTACCTCTTTGTTAATGGAAAACACCCATCGTGAAAGCACCGAACCACCGGGCTCCAAACCACCCTTCCTGGAGGGATCAGCTGATGCGTTGTTGGGATTTGCGTGTCTGCGGGCACGTTGAAGATGTTGTGCGAGGCTTCAGAGCCACTTCGCACTAATTCAGGTAGAAGATGAGTCAGTGCTTGTTTTTGAAAGAAGTATCCACCAGCGGAGACTTTGGGTAGGCTCCTTTGATATCAGCGTGTAATGCTGATTTAGTGGCGTGTCAGGTCGCACACACATGGCGATGCCGTCTATGTGATGCTTCCTTTAGACGTCATGAACCGGAACAGCACTATCAACGACCCAGAGCAGCTGAACCACTGGTTTGAACAGCTGCGGGGGATCAATGTGACCGGCGTCATGACGGACGTTTGGTGGGGCATCACTGAGCCAGCACCAAAAGAGTACGCCTTCCAAGGCTACAAAGATCTTGTGAGAATGGTGAAGCGCAATGCTTTGAAGCTGCAGATTGTCACCAGCTTCCATTCTTGCGGCAGCTCTATTCCATTGCCAGCATGGCTCCTGCAAGAAGAAGGCATTTGGTACCAAGATGCGCAAGGAGATGTGACCAAAGCGTACATCTCTCTTTGGGCAGACCATGTCCAAGTTCGAGGGCGGCTTGGGTTGGCAGGTGTGTCAGTCATCACCATCCAAGACGTTCGCCAACTTGTTACACAATATATGTCGGGTGTGTTTGGAGGAGTCGGTTTCTCTTTGGGGGTCTTCCTCTACAAAGGCTTTCCACTCAAGTCTTATGGAAATGCCGAGAAGGCTCAGCTTCTCAAGCTCAGGCGGACTCCCTTGCAGATGTATGCAGACTGGATGGAAGCCTTCAAGGCAGAATTCCACCACGACCTTGGAAGGACCCGCATCGATTGGCCGCCCAAAGCGCCCTCCAGGTGCCCATGGGTAATTACGTGTCTTTGAGGATATCGCTTTTTTGATACACCCCATATTCATCCGTATTCCCATTAGCTTCAAGGGTTTCCTCTGAGATTGAGAATACTTTCTGCGTGGTGTGCACGTGGAAAGACCCTTCCAACATGAAGCTTCTCTGTTTCGGAGGCTGCAACCATGGGGAAGTAGAAGGGGCTGCAAGTTGCACTCGAGGAGCAAGACGATTGTCGATATCATGGTTGGTCTGGGGACGGATGGAGAGCTGAAGTACCCTTCCTACGAGAATGGAAATCCAGAGGAGCCCGGCTCTGCCGGTGTTTTTGCTCGTCGCCCCAAGGGGGGCTATGATGTTCGATTGTTGGAACGCCCCTGTGTAAGGTCGGTACCCATATAAATCAATGATGACCACCAAAGTCAGACCCTAAACAGAACGGGTTCCATCTTGCACCAAGGGACAATCATGAGGGATCATACGCGTTAAGCTGGATGTCGAGGCGCCCTCTTGGGCATGCAAGAGGGCTTCATGTGCCATGCGCTGGAGCCTTGAAGCTGGGCAGTGACGTCTCTCAGGAAGTGAGATTCCATAGCAAACAGGAACTGGGTCGCAAGAACATCAAGAGGAGGCGGCTTGCGCAACAGGCTGAGCAAGGCAACACGCAACAATGGCGTCAATTGCTGAAAGCGCCGGACGAGTCTCACACTGGTGCCCGATGCATGCCCCTTACAATTCACCAACAAAGATCAATGATGCTGCGGATGTGTTTAGCAAACCGACTTATCCGTGGGAAATCAAGAGGAAAGAGCTGTTTTTTTCCCGCTCAAGCAAACATGTATAGATGTTGACATATCATCAAAAAAGGTAGCGCCGCACTGCAGCCGCGGAAGGTTTGCAGGAGGTGTTTTTCCCGCGGAAGGGACTTTGTTGATTTGCATCGTTTGGGTGGTTGTTGCCAAGCACGTTTCCTAGCAAACCGTGCACACGAATGAAGTCAATGTGTCTGATATTCCGTTCACATCACCTGGTGGAGGGTTGCCTTGTTTGGTGTTTACTTCGGACCGCGGATGCTCGGGAGGACTCCATAGCTTTCGGGAGAGACTTCGGGGTTTGAGGTTTCTTGGTGGTCCTTGTGTGTACCCGAAACCCAGCACTCACTACTGCTCTGCAGATGGTCATGGAAGCCAAAAACCATCAGGTTACACGGATCTCATTTTGGGTGCCTTCCCTATTCATTTGGGAAAGTATAAAGACAGATTAGCACCGAAGTTACCTGAAAGCTGACAGCCTGTGCAAAATGCCTTGGCAAAATGTCAATCCAATCACCATGAATGCCCTATATATATATATGTATATATATATATATATATATATATGGGTTCGACTTATTTGTCCGGTTCGCGAAAGTCGTTTGCCAGCATTGGCTGAATCCGGAAGTCCAAGTCTTTCCAAACCACAGGCCTGGACCCTCGCAAAAACAACAACAAAAAGACAGGTCTTTCCTTTGGTGTATCCTTTACATCCGAAATTGCTAAATCCCATCAACAATGCTTAGGGGCCAGTTGAAACCCATCCAAATGGACAGCTTTTTTCCCATCCGTGGTTGGTTCCCTCCAAACCGCCAATAGTCAATTTCTCCAATATCCCAATCTGGTTGGTTGTCCTTTGTGTTCAGGCAAATCGGGATTCGGACACAATGACGGGTTTCCTTCAGGCTGTACAACCGCCAAGAAAAGGCCACCATGCGTCAGACAACACACAAATGGATATGCCAAAGTAGGGTGACCCCAAACAACTTTAAACCCAGGTGAAATGTACCTTTCGCCTCAACACGAACCTTTTGCCTCAAAAACCGCCCAACTGGAGGATCCGTGGCAGTTCCCCGGAATCGGCGAGTTCCAGTGCTACGACCCCCACGCCCGGCGCTCGCTGCAAAGGGCGGCGGAGAAAGCGAGGGTGCCGTGGACAGAGCCGCCGAAGCCTGAGGTGACAGGCAACGGAACGCCGCCAACAATGCGCTTGTTTTTTTTTCAGAGAATTCTTTGGCGGGGGGGGGGGGTAAAGGGGAAACCAAGCCGGGGGATTCCTTATTTTCAGGGGACCCGTTTGGGGGGCGAAAAGGGGAAGCCAAATTGGGGGTTCATCCGGCTGTGTTTCTTTTTGAGGGGATCCCTTTTGGGTTGTTTAAGGGGAAGCCAGATTGGGTGGGGGGGGGTTCTTATTTTTCAGACACAAGGGAGCAGTTTTAAGGCTTCTGGGGGTGGTTTAGGGGATAATATTGATGTGACTTTGGACAGGAGCGTGAGCAGCGGCGAGAGCGTTTCTTTTTGTTTGTTCGAAACCGGTTCTAATAATGTGGTTTCATTTGGTGTATAAATCGGGGGTCTATTTTGGGATTCCATGAGGGGTGCTGGATGCCGAATCACCCGCCGCAATGTTTAAAACCAAAAGGGAACAGGCAAGATCCTGAACTTTTCAAGACCCTGTTCAATGTGCGGGGTACTTCTGCTGTGTTGCTGCTGCTGCTGCTGCTGCTGCTGCTGCTGCTGCTGCTGCTGCTGCTGCTGCTGCTGCTGCTGCTGCTGCTGCTGCTGCTGCTGCTGCTGCTGCTGCTGCTGCTGCTGCTACTTCTTGCTATTGCGTCAGGGGCACACTTCAAGGTTTTCTGAGAATGACTGTCCTCATTGAACAGCCTGGCTTTGTGCAATGCATGGGGTGGGGGGTGGGGGCTGAACCTGACGTTTCCCAGTTCGGATTCGGGATGAAGCCACGCACGCCCTGCAGGTACCTACAACAGCCTTTGGAATGACACGGTCTTCTTCACGGAGGGCTACAAAACGCCGAGAGGGAAGTTCTTCCTCAGTTGGTACGCTGGCTCCCTCTACCAACACGCGCACGAGGTCCTCAGAAAAGCGCGGCACATCTTTGGGTGCTCAGTGCACTTGACTGCCAAGGCAGGGTTCGCATGAGAAGATAAAGTGAGCTCCTGTATTGATGTCCTGCGCTGTTGTGTGGGGTGTTTTTTGCAATTCCCAGTTTCCGGGGGGGTTGAAAAGCAAGCCCCAAATTTCCTGAGGTCTCTGGAGTGCACTGGATGTACAAGACTCCTTCGCATGCAGCTGAAGTCACAGCGGGGTACTACAATGCGAACGATCATACGCCGTACGTGCAATTGGCCACCATCTTTCATGCACCTTGCCGCCAATGTTGAACTGTCCAACTGGATTTGCGTATGTGTCAAATTTGGGGCGCCCCCTCCCCCCCTCCAAAAAAAAACAACAAGTGCAGTTTCCAGCTTTCCGTTTAAAGCGGGGGGTAACCCACAAGACGCTTGCAGTCCATTCGATGCTCCGCTCTCGAGGAGTTCGGTGCGCGCTTCGACTTCACCTGCATGGAGATGACGGACGCCGCGCAGCCGGCGGCGGCCTTCAGCGGGCCGCAGGAGTTGGTGGGCCAAGTGATCACCGCCACACGCCAGGCGTGGCCGAGCAGGGGGAGGGGGGGGGCCAGTAGCGGAGCCATGGTGACCCGAGAAGGAGTTTCGACGAGGGTTCCGTTTTCGGGGACCTTTGTGGAGTTTGGAGAACAAGAAGGATTCCGAAATGGGGATGGTGGACCTCGGATCCCAAGCCACTGCAGGTACCCAGCCATGTTCCTCCTGAATTTTCAAAGGTGGGAAACCCCTTAGGCTCACGGGCAAGGAAATTCAGATCACAATTCCTGGCCAACCGCTCACACACCTTCCCATGAGAAAATAGGAGAATGACCATGATCCACAGATTTGGGAGTTTGATCTCAGGTGGGCACAAGTCTGACCGGCGAGAGCCTGGGAGCCAATGGTCGAGATCTGGGATCTGGATGTGTCATTTTCGGGGACCCTCAAAATGGTGGGGTTGAAGGCCACCAAAAAACGGGTAAAGAAACACATCTCAATTTCTTTGCTTCATGTTGTATTTGAAAGCTCAGCATGGCCCAGCATGAAAGATTCTTTTCGGCGGGGCAAAAGCTTTGAGGGATAGGGAGGGACATGAGAGGCCTCATCTTCCCACGTGCCAACACGTACGCGCCACGTTTGTTTTCCCTGACCGTGGCTCACACGGGTGGATTTGGTTTTTGTGTTTTACTGTTTTGAAGTCGGTACCCTTTTAAGCCAGGTTGAAGGAGAATCGAAGGACACACCCGGCATTTCGAAGACCCTGTTTTGGAGGTCACTCTTTCTGATCGGGCTCGGCTTAGCAAAGTGTGTGGAAGAGTTTGATTAGCAAAAACAAAGAATGGGAGAACAAAAACTGGTTGAGAGGACTTTGCTTTGGAGACGCGTTTTGGGGCTTCCCTCTGAGGAATGCTCTGGCTACATACAACACTGCTGGATACAACCAGATGTTGGTGAACAAGCCAGCTTTGCTGAGTTTGACCTATCTACGCCTCGGCCAAACCTTGATGGAGGAGGAGAACTTGCGGCGGTTCAGCGAGTTTGTGCGCGCCATGCAAGCTCCGGAGTTCATCACGCCCTATTCCTTGGAGTAATCCGTGGCCGGGTGGCAGAATGGCGGCATGTGCCTTTCTGCCGCACTGGATTCTGCAAATGCAGGTGTGCGGGTGTGTAGTGCTCAATACAATTGAGACCCCCCTCCAACAAAACGCAAAGAATGGTGGTTATCCCTTGTACTGTATGTTCCCTGTGAAGCAATCCCGAGACACCCTTGTCAATGTGCAGCGCATACTTTTGCAGCGTCTGCAGCGTGCAGGGGCTGAGGGTCAGGATGGACTTTGCCCCAATGCGGGCAGGGAGTAGCGTTTACCCTCATTCCAACAAACGTGGAAGTGGACAGGGAGGTTATAAAGGAAAGTAGTCTTTCCACCCGGTCCTGTCAGTTTCCATGACAGTTGGACAAGGGGCTAACATAAAATGTGTTTTTCCCGCTATCCCACGACGCAGAGTTCGTAAAGTCAAGGACATACTGTCGTTGGTCAGAAAAAGGGGCGAGCGCTCGAGCTGAATAGATGATTTGATCAGGAGAAACTCTGTAGATGCCTGTGGGTTGCAGGCATCCAGTTGTTTGAACAAATGTACGGAATGGGGGGCATACCCAGGGACGCTTCCCAATGCATTTAATGCTCTGTGGGCACAGGGAAAGACATGTCGGGTGCGAGGCCAAGGTTTTTCCCAGCCAGTGGGGATGTTGAACCTGGTTAGGGTCACCGAGCAAATGTCAGACTCGGCATGATGCATGCTGGGCGGGGCAAATACTACAGAAAGGGGCCCTGATAGCCGCCCACACTCAAATACTATCGACATTCACACGTTCATGAACCGTACCAAAGTAAGGAACCTTCGTCCCTTCGTCATATGTTTTCGGTCGCACCCCCCCTACAATTGTCCAGAATAAATAGAATAGTTGAAACCCAAAAGGAATGAACATTGTCAACAGCAAAACCAACAAGGTTGGCCAGAAATCCTCCCTGAAGCTCGGAAATCGGTGGCTCCGTTCCCCGCGAGCCCCAGGTATGCCGACAAAAAGAGGCCATTCTAACGCAGCTCCGCCTATTAAATACGAGACAGCGCCAAAGGAACAAATCTAAGCTTGGTTGAAACGACATGATTTCTTCCTTTAGGTTTGATCGGATGCTACGAGCACCGCCCTGCCTTCGACCCACATGCCCAGGACGCATCCTGTTGACAGACAACATTTGCTGCATGTGCGCGAGGGTGCAGGGATCCTTACCCCCCTTGTATATCCATGAATAGGCGAGTATAACCAGTATGTATGGGTGGCGCATATGCTTATGGGCGCGTCGTTCTTTCTGTTGAGTTTTGGAAGAGTTGCTTAGCACAGAAGCACAGGATGTTGAGATCTGGCAGAATCGCAAAGAATCAGCCGTGGCCCGCACAGTGTCACAAGTTGGTGTGCAGTTCCCATGCCAGGCAACATTCCCCCGACCGGCAAAATGAATTCTTCCATCAGGCAAGGGGGCCTCTCGCAGGAAAATACAACACCAATACCATGGCTGGAAATTGTATTTGGGAACAACTGGATTTGCTTGGTTGGGGCAAACGGGAAATCGCCCAGACTCAGGGAGTTTCCCTATGTCCGTAGTTAGTTGCTCAGAAACTATCTTATCAAGCGGCCAGGAAATTTGGCAACCAGCGGAGCAGTGCGACGAAGAGCGGGCCTGGCACGGATTAAGCCGGCACCTGGCATGGACGCAAGGAGTGCCAAAGGATGTCAACCAGCTGAATAGCTGGAGTTGTGTGTTGGTTCTTACGGGTTCCTCATGTGGTAATCATCACCCTTTCAGCGAGATGTTTGAAGCGGCAAGAACCAATAAAAAAGCCATGTCGCTGACGGAGTCTTTTTGTTTTCATTTTTGGGGCCAAAGACCCGCCCTTGGGTTCGGCCTGAGATACATTCGCGTGGGCGTGTGGCCAAGATGCAAACCCCCTTCAACGAGCATGTGAAATGTTGACATCAGAATGTCAAGATGGCATGTGGTTGTTGAGACGTCATACTTTGTTGCTTGACTGTGTTGGTCATGTGTTCGGATGAGCAACCCGTCGTGCTTGCATGACGGTGGTCATGCAATTACGCTTCTTCCAGGCCCCCTCAGATCCAACCGGTGTTTCAGATATCCCTACATTGGTGGTTTGGATAAATGGGCTTGGACCATTGGAGATTTGAACCTCTTGATAAAGGAGAAATAATTACCACACTTTCTCCAAACGAACTCACTCCCTGAGTTCCTGGGATTTAAGCTTTTTGTGAGGACGAATTCAGCGGTAAAAGAGTCTTAAAGTTCAGACGTTTTCTGGGTGTTGAATTTGATGTTTGGTTTGTGGCAGTGTCAGTGGCGTGTGTTGGATTCCGTCTATGGGTTGCACTGTTGCACTCCAAACAAATGGATGAACTGGAATTTCATTGGTCCCATTTTTCCCTTGTGGCAAAGATAGATGGAATCGGGGCCTCCCTCCCCGGCCCATGAGGGGGGTCAAGAAAATCCATGATAGCGGATAAAATGGCTCGTTTCCTGGAGATTGTATTTTTTGTCCACCACCCGTAGATTTGTCCAATGTCTCTTGAGTCATGGGCCCCTCAGCTGCCATTTTCTCCAGGTTGGAGCAGCTCCTGAGTGCGGTGGCCAACCCTTTGCTGATGGCTCTGCGCCATCCCATCGCCCCGCATGCGGCGAATGGTGCGACTGCGCAGATGGCGAATGCCGCGACTGCGCACTTGACGGCGGGCCATGGGTTTAGCGGGGCCTTCAGCTCAGGCCGGGCCGGGGGACGGGGCACGGGAGACTGAAGACATGGTTGCCCTTATTGGGTGCTTTGTTGCGAGATTTGCCGACTTTCTAGGGCATCCACAAGAAGGAGGCCAGAGTCTTGGCGACCTGACATTTACATGTGTCCGACTTAAAAACAAACCATCAGAGTATAAAAGGCCGGGTCTTTTTCTCCAATGATGGCTTGTTGGGCCGGTCATGGCCCTAAACCCCCTGGAAGCCCTTCAGGATCGACAAGACACCAGTTTGCCCAGGAGGAATAGGAAAGCAACATGCAAGTCCACCTTGTTCCCTCAGACGTCAGGATTCATCGGGGGGGTTGGCCTTGAAAGGGTGGCATATTGTTTGAGCTTGCCAATTTAAGTCGGCTACGAAATTGTAGATTCACTGCTGGCTCTTTGCCTTTTGGAGATGTGGAATGGCAAAGCGGAGATATGAATGGAGGCATTTGGACAAGTGTTGACAATAGCATTGGTAGCAGCTTTGGCATGTTAACAAATATGTTATTGGATTGGCGGGTGCCAGTGCGTGCCAAGTAGTACTGCCAGCGTTGGGGCGAGAAAACGGGCAACATTAGTTTAGCGCGTGATTAGCCAATGCCAACACAAGACTACCATGACTGTAGTCAATGCAGGAAGCCCGGCCGAAGTTTCCAGAAGTTTGGCATGGGATAACCTCATCAAATGCCTCACAACAGCCAAGAGACTCGAGTTGTTTCCATATCCTTCACGTTAGGCTTTGTTCATTGGCCTTCATGGTCCTCGATTGCTTCCAATCATCACTGTTAGGCTTCAATAACTCCGAGCCCAATCATCCCAAACCTTTGCGCATGGGTGCTTCCATGCAACCCGATCGGCACAAGTTGGTCGAAAATTGGTTCCTGAGGTGGGTTTGATGAAACCAGACCAATTGTCCACCCTTCCTGGATCATTTTTAACGAGGGTTTTGTTTGCTGCTCAAGAGACTGTTTGTGTTGCGAGAGGTGTCTTGACAAACGAGCCCTAGTGAGTCTTCGAGCGTTGAATCAGCCAACTGGAAGGCTGCTTGGTTCCTTCAGCTTCTTTGGAGGCCCACTTTGCGCAATGTGATCAAGACAGGAAAGGCCACGCAACAAGCGCACAGTCCACACGATGGACAGTTCCTTCTGTTTCGATATCCACAACCGAGGCGGAAGATTCAGGTTGGGTTTGACCGTCATTCAAAGGCTCAGAGCAACCTGCAAAAAATGACGGTTGAACCCCCGCCTCCCCCCCCCAAAAAAAAAAGGAACAAAAACGAAGAAAAACAAAAACATGGAAGTCTAAGGACGTGTGTTGCTCAAGACCATTCAAAGCGCAACTGGAATCACTGTAAGTGCCGTGGTCCAACCTCTGCAAGAACAGCGATCGGCTTGCGAAACCTCACTCGTAGCTTGCGCCTGTTGGGGAGGAAATTATAAAGACAGGATCTTGGAATCTCGGAGGGATTCTGAGCTGTCTCTCCATGGCCAACGTTATGATTTCACCGTGCCTGAATGGTACATATGTATGTAGATATATATATATATATATATTGTTTAATAACAATGCTGATAATAATAGTGATTAATATATATATATATATTGCATACATCGGTTTTGTGTGTTCTTGAGGTAACCCTTCTGGGGGGCTTTAAACGTTAAGCAAAGGGAAGTCACCCATGTTCAAGCTTCCCCCATTTGGAGACAAACCAAAAAAAAGCTTGCCCTTTGCTTTTTCCCTTGGCATTTGAAATGACACCTGCGGGTGAGGTGCTTGGATGACCACCCCACTTAGTAAGTAGTCAATATACCTGGTTAACAAGTCCTCTAAGCTGGTTGTATGTAAGGTAATTTGCCACTTGGGTACTTGCTAAGCGGGTATTGGCCACTTCGTAAGTGCCGCGAGCACTCATCGTGCCCCGTTCCCCCCTGCCAGGTACCGCGACTCCTTGCCACTTTGCATCCATGCCTGTGCTGCCGGGAACGCCAGCAAGGAGCCCCGGCGTGCGGCTGCAAGCGATGAAGCAAGCATGGGAAGCCCCTGCAAAGCCAAAAAAGACGGCAAGTAACCTACTCTGCAAAACATGAAGCTGGAGAATCCACAAGTAGAGGAATTTTGCTTTTTGGGGACCCCCTTTTTGAGTATTCTAATTTGAAGGGGAGAAATCTCAAGCTATGGCCCAGATTCTGATTCCTCGCATTTTTCCGAAGGGGGTGAAGATATGGATGGTTCCGAGCCGAAATTCATGGAATGCATGTGAAACGCTTCACGAGCCTCGTGTCTGTTCTTTGGATCCGAATCGCCCTGCTTTGCGACCTCGGGCATGAAGAATCGGAGCCCTGGTTGTCCATTGGCTGTTCACTGGCTTGGTGAACAATTCATACCATC